GCCTGGTGACGCATACCTCTTCATGATCAGCAGTAAGTCTAATCAATGCAGCCAATCCTTAGTTCGCTCACTGCCTGACGTGGCTTACTTATAGCATCCTCCTACTCCCTCGCCCTCATCAACACCCTCGTATCCTTCGGCCTTCTCCTCTTACACACCCCAGCATACAAACCCTTCGGCTGGTCTCCGCCCTTCCGCGCACCGCGTATCATCACAGTGTTGTTTTTCCTGTCAAATGTATTCCTTGTGGTGGTCCCACTCATTCCGCCACCGCCCGGGAGGAGGGTGTACGATGCGTTGCCGTATTACGTGCGTGTTCGTTCATCGCGTTTTCACTTGCTCCCAGTTCCACTTGTTACTTTATTTGAGTATCCGACGGGCTCACCTACTTACGCACAGCTCCACCCCCTCGTCGCGCTCTCGGTCTCGCTCCTCGGCGGCGCATATTGGTACATCTGGAGCGTGTGGCTGCCTCGGCGGGGGAAGTATATGCTCGAGCGGGTGTGGGTTCTGCAGGAGGATGGGGTGCCGAGGTGGGTGTTTCGGCGGAGGGGCTTAGTGGGGGGTGGTGGTGAGATGCATATGCCCGAGGGTGAATGATTTAGATGTAATTTGTTGTGGATAGATAGAGGATATGATCCTGGATGATTAGGAAACGAACGGGATAGACTAAGATAATTGTTTATAAATTGTCTGTGTTAAGATTCAAATAAAAGGTTGATTGGGTATCGATGTCGAAACTGTTGAGTACAAAGGTGGTTACGATTATCCAACGAGTAATCGAGTCATGTATAGCTTTGTCCCTCAAGTCATCGAATTTCCACGACGATAGACGGGATCTACGGTTATGGGCATCAGTCCTAGTACAAGACGAAGGATGACAATTTTATTGTTCACTCACATCAACATCCTCGTCGTTCTCATCGGTTGCAATAGCTTCGACAACAACACGCCGCGCATTGGACGGGACGCGTGTCTTGCTAACTCGTTCCACCAAATCACGGAAATTCATGCGCAAACGCTCCTCGGCCTGCACAAGCACATAAGTATACACTGGCAGATAAACCAACCAAACTCACCTTCGCCTTGGGGAAAAACGAAGACCACAGCACGCTCGTTCCGTGGCTGACAAGGCCCAGATCCAGACTGTGTGTAGTCTTAAACCAATCGACGACATGCTGCAACGTAGGGTTATCGCTGAATTTGAACCGATCCCAGGGCATCGTCCACTCGGCTGATCCGTGTTTCTTCTTCTCAGCAGCGATGGGTTGCGAAAATCCGAAGAAGGGAAGCGCAAGATTGATGAATGCGTTCTTGAAATTTTCGGGTTTGTTCTTGCCGTCGATGATCTGTTCGATAGGAAGAGTAAATCGGTTGCTTATAACCAACACGGTTGAAAACTACCTTGTACAGCTCAAGACTTCCCAAGCCCGCGACGAGGGAAGCGGTCATTACGATGGCAGGAACAATATTTCCAGCGATCCGTTTCGTTTTGGAGCGCCCCGCGATGGCGATTCCAAAGTTCATCGCTCGAAGATTAGACGCCGCCGTGATAAAATCGAGGTGGTGGTTTGCGTCGTCGTCGTCGTTTTTCTCGAATTCGGCTGGGACTAGGCGATATCCTTCAGCAAATTCCGTGGCTGGAGGCAACTTGGCAATCAAAGGCGACAGATCTTCTTTGGAACAGGATGAATAAACACAGAAGCGCTTCATATATGACAAATGCGCTCACCCTTGGAAGTCTCCGTTCTCGGAATGAACTCAGGAACAGCCACTGACTGAACAAGAGATCGAACGGTGGCAGAATCGGTCTCGCCGGGTAAACCATAGTTGTAGGCGTGTAGGTTCGCAGCGGAGATGATAAACTCGAGATGAAGTTCCTATGGTTTGGCGTCAGATTGAGCTTCAGCCAAAATTTGAAGCACCGCTCACATTGTCCGCATCGAATTCCAACGGGTGCGGTAGGAGCATCGCCCTACCCCATAATGGTTGCCCATCAGCCGTTGAAGTGTCCTTCGGGAGAGCGTGCAAAAGCTGCTTGATCTCGCTGACGAATTGCTTCTCGAACTCAATCCGTGCCCAGACAACACAGTCCTCGAAGGTCGCTGGCTTCCCTGCGCCTAGGAACTGAATGATTTGAGCAATTTCCGCTTCAGCTCGGGCCGAGTATGTATGCTTAACCAAAGTGTCCACGAAATTGGCCTCTGTGATATATTGATTAACCGTCTGGGCTGGGTCGACGAATAATTGGTGGAATGTCGTGCGGCTCCACTGAACAGAAAAAAATTAATACTGAGTTTCGTCGAGAGTGATGTATGGATCTTACCTGAACGGTGTCCCGAATTGTCAACGGCAGCCCGCAATTGAGGGGTTGCTCAGCATGTTCTGGAGGGTCCCTTGACGAGGCGTAGGATTCTGTCGCATAGGGAATGATGACTTGAACGTTGCCCTTTGTGCCGAATGTGCCAGTTTCGAGCAGCGGCTTCTCATAGAAGATGCACCGAGTGTCCATGTAAAGTCCTAATCGGAGGATGAGAGGCAAAAGAAATAACCATGAAGTATATGTTTGTACTTACGCGCACGTATATTATCCACACCGTTTGTGACTCCGTCAATCTCGTCGAAAAAGGCGTCGCCGAAAACATCTGGCGATCGACGTTACTCGAATGAATCATTCTCTGGAAGGCAAAGGGAGACAGACGCACCTTCAGTTGCTGGTTCGACCGATTCCGTCTTCGCCATAATCTTGCCCATCAGATCCGAATTCATTTCTATCAAGGCCTGACCCGCCACCTCCGTCTTCAACTTGCCCAGGTCCTTCGTACTGAACAAAAACTGCCGATTCAAATTGCTTTTCTCTATCGTGTCGGGATCCGTAAGGTGAATCGCACCCCGTGGGCCAGAGCCCACCCCCATCATGCCCCAATTCTTCAGCATCTCGCAGCCAATGCCGCCACAACCGACGAGGAACTGCCGATGATTGGCAACCTTTTCGAATGAGGATTTGCCGAACACGGCGATTTGCGCGTCGTATCGAGTACCGAGGGGTTGGCATTCGGATTCGGTGGGGGAAATGTGGGGAAGGGACTCGAGCGCATCGAAGTACATGTGTTGGACCATAGGGTGGAATTTGGAAGAGCAGAATTTGAGGACTTCGCTAGCGACGAAGGAGCCGATTATCGAATTGACGGGAGGAACGTCGCCCTGAGCTTGATATGCGAGCTCGGTGACGAGACCTTCATCGATATTGGCGTCGATTGCTTTGGCCAGGGAGACAACGGCCTCTGCGTCGTTCACGTTCCTAGGTCGGGGAAGCCTCTGCTGCTGAGCATAGAATTCGGAGAGCGCCTGGAAGCCGCCGTGCAGGGTCGGCGGTCGGTCAGACTTGGACGTGTCCGTGGTGAAAAATGTAGGAGACCTGATGGAATCCCGCAACGATTTCTGTGTGACAATGAATAAGGATTGTACGACACAACGGAAGATGGTTACATACGAATTCGAGTGTCTTAGATGTGTTGATTTGAGTAAAGATGCCACCGCTCTGGTATGGATGGAAACTGGATACGTTGCCGATGGAGAACGTGTAGGGCCCCTTTACAGAAACCATGCGCGGCTCACACTCATTCAACTCCACCATGCCTCGAACATCGGAGAATGTCACGAGCTGCCCGTCTTCAAAACCGTGTTTCATTCCGTCCAAGCAGGTCACTAGACCTTCCTGTAGAGGCATTAGATTGTGCATGATATTTGCGGTCTCTGGCAGACCTCGTTAATGGAGGCAATCATGCCGGTGAGCTCTTCCTCGCCAGTCGGATCTTCGCAAGTGAAAGCAGGGCCAAAGTCGTTGAATATCGAACTGCGAAGGAGTCAGTACAAATTGAGCCGAGCGGTTGAATCATACCCAAAAAGGCCTCGTGTTTCGGCGGCGATGAAGGCCACTCCATTCTTGTGCGTCCAATCATTGATTTCCAATTGCTTGGGGAAAAAAGCATTGCAGAGTACTACGACCTGGTCGCAACGTTGAGCTATCCACAAAGGATACCGAGCAGAAAGAATGAACCTGGAAACTTCGAATGCGATCTACGCTCAATTCTTGCCCCGCGTCGCCGCCGAGATTGTGGACGGCAACATAGGGATTGAGTTCTGACAATCGGGGGATCGTGGCTTCGGCGCGAGGTTTTCCTATGTCTCCTTCGCGGAGGAAGAACTGCAGATTGATCTTGAACAAGAATGTCGAAGTATTCGGCGCGATACTGACCTGAGAGCTCAGATCCTGCAATGTGACGGTTTCTGGATCGAAAACAGTGACAGACTTGACGCCTGAGAGGACGATGTTCTTGGCTGAGAATTTTGTGAGGAATGCTTCGAAGCGAAAGCACGTAGATGGGCACCGATTTCTGCGCCTAGTCCTTGTAGCCCAGCAATAAGAACATCACAAGCTGCTATCTTCTTCATGGCTGCCAGCAGTTTCGGATGAACATGTAGTCGAAGTGATGCATGACTCTACTCACCTTCGTGACCCAAGGCATATCTGAAAAGGCGAGAATCTTTGGTCCATGTAGAGGTCGAAGAAACAAGGTTGACACTTACAATTGACGGGAATACAGATCCTCATCGATTGCGGAGGAGTTGGGTTTCATCCTGGGCACCTACAGCCAGGTTTCGCGGCTTGCAAGCTGCTTTTAAGTCTTTCGATAATGACGATCAGCTCAGTCCGCGTGTTGTCTGACTGTGTTGGGGATGGCAAGAGTCAAGGACGGTCATCGACAGCCGTCAGCGCCTTCGCGAATCAAGCGCCAAGATCTCGATTCAATCATTCGGACGCGTGTTTGTCACACCTGTCAGTGACTGTCACATGCTGTCGTGCCAACATTGTGAGGCCCGCAAATAGGAGACAATGACAAGAAAAGGGTTGGTTCTGGTTGGTTGGGTGGAGATCAAGCAGCGAGCACAGGAAAAAGAAGAAAGACGGAGCTTGAAGGCGTAGTGGGGCAAAACAGTGGACACACAGGGAGTTGAACCCTGGACCGCTTACAATGTAAATGCAAAGCAGGAGTGATAACCACTACACCATATGCCCGAGGTCCGGGAGATAAACGTGAGCGTCAGATCAAGGACAGATATCGAAGCGTCAAATCGAGACTCAGGCAAAGCCAACCAACGCATGAAACGTTGAAAAGTTACAATGAGTTTTATTTCAATCTGTATTGCCAGAATTTTACATGTCGCAATCCCATAAGCACATGCCCATCATCGAATCAACACGCTTTCCGGAGGTCCTAAATAGCTCGGTTTCACGCCTCCAGTATCTGTGAAATGCGCAACTCGGATAAGCAGGTGGCAAATCACAGGACGAAGAAGTGACATACTGATCACAATTTTCTGCACCACCACGGCAGGTTCAATCATGAAGATCTGCCAAAACAAGTTGAGTGGCCCAGCAAGTATTACTAGGTGAATGATTTGAGACTAACCTTCAGCGTATGTGCGCCGGGTGAGAGTGAGACTGGGTTGTTGACTGAGATGATTGAGTTGGCAGCGAACCCGTCGTTACCATCCCAGCCTAAGGGTTGCTGCCCAGGAGCTGCGGCTGGGAAGAAATAATTGCTCTCTAGTGCTCCTCCATCCACTTGTAGAGCAAATCCCAGTGGGCGGTCTGATCCAAGCCCGTTGTTTGACGGCGAGACAAACGTCGTCACTGTAGCATTGGAGTTCGTGAAAGTGTAAAAGTCGTACTCCCTGCAGATTTCCTAAGTAGCGCAAAGGTGAGTGTAGAGCAATGCGACGCACAGTGAAGGTCCAGTCCCAGCAGTGAAATTATTTTCGTTGTTCCCCAATCTCGGCCACGGAGTGACTCCGGACAATGTCCGTCCCAAGCCAGGTAAGACTCTCCAGAACATATCCCCAACAGTGTTATTTCTGATGGCATGTTCCGCCTCAAATGAAATCGCACCACCCGCTTCGACGAATCCTATGTCGTGTCTCTTTAACACATTTACATCCGAAAAAATTACCCGACCATACCTCTGAAGTCAGCCGGAATGCTTGTCTTATTCGCTACGATAAAGGCCGGGAAAGTCATCTTCTGAAGCGGATTGCTCGATGTAGCAGTGAACGTGATGTTAGCGTTGCTTAGCCCGTCAGGGAGTTGACTCCAGTCAACAGACGCAAACACGCGTTGCTCGGGGTTCGTCGGAGAAATGGAGCCATGGCTCGGGCTCACGGTGAGCCACGATGAATTGGAAACAGCCGTGAATGTGAAGGGAGTCGGTCCTGCGGCGCCAACGTCTATGAAACGATTCGAAATCGGATCGAATTGATCGATGTTGAGTGTCCTAAACAGTTGCCTCAATTTCTCCAGTGGCTATATGTTACAGAGACGGCTCACGGAGGCGGACAGTTGAACCCGTTAGAACATTGGAATTGGTTGTCACCAGGCCTATGATAATATAAGCGCGAACCATTGCATGAACGATGAAAAACGAACCAAGTTGCAAGCGATCCTTCTGGCGAAATCCGCATTATCCCGGGTAAAGCCTGCTTATTCTTTTGAACACGAGAAATCATGGGCATGCTAGCAGTGGTTCACTCTGAATGAGAGAAATGAAGAGGATGAGAAAAGCGCACGAGTTGCCCATGGGTTGCTGCCAATACGCGTAACCCAAATCTATGCTCTCAATTATTCGATCGTAGTGAAGAAATGAAATTGTCTCTTACGTGTTTGATCCATCATGCTATCCAAGAATTAACTCAAACAATTATGAAGAAATGGAGCGCTTACTGATCCCATTTTCCTAGATCGAGGGTTATCAGATTGGGAGTTGCGTTCAAAGAAGAATCGCCGTACCATCAAGCATAGTATGATATTGATTTTCCAAATCGAAGTCATGTTCAAACAACGTTTCAACCTGATCTGCAAGCATATTCGCACTCAATCTTGCCTGGCTCGCACGAAGATTATTCTGGCCAGCTGCGATGAGCATATTCCCCAGATTCGTGCTCGCCAAGACCGGATGGTGCACGAGTTGGAAGAAGGCCGGCTTCATCGCACTTGACAGTTTATTGTAGATTGCAGTTGAAGCGGCTTGAAGCTTGTTCCATGAGGCGTGCACGTTGTCGGCTCTATAGCGCATCAACGACACAACAAAAGGATAAGAGAGACGACCCACTCCCGATAATTTACCAAGCTAAATGTCGTAGAGTTCAATAACTCCGGTTTGCGGCGTGCGTTGAAGCGTGTGAGGTTCGCAATAATATTTGTCACAGTCAATGCATCTGAGTCGGACATATCGAATTCCCGCTTGGCCCAACTCGAGACGAAAGTGTCCAGGTTATCCGGGTTCCAGCGCGAGGCGTTCCAGCCCATTGTGATGAAGAACTCGGTTTCCCGTTCGTATGGCTTCATGTCTCCGACGTTCAGCACCCAGATGCGTGTTGCGTCTCTGTCAATAGCGATTGACATTTGTTCGTATATCTAGCGAATCGAAACGATTAGCGAGAGAAGATGAGGAAAATGGACGCTGACTTTGGAAATTTGCGAGCTCTAAACATACAGGTATTAAAATTAGGTGGTGTGATAGTGAGAGAGAGCTCACAGTTATCCATTTGTAATCTCGGGGTGACCCAACATAGTCGACCTGAGTATCGAGTCAAAAGAATACAGTAAGATGCGAAAAAAAATATATGACACTGACATGATAATAAATGCCCGCCCCTCCGGTCCGATTCCTCTCCGAAGGAATCGGGTATCGTCGTATGTTTCCCCAACTAAAAGCCCGTTAATCTCACATACCAAGTCAGAAATGGAGGTCGCGTACTTATCGTCAGTCCACATCAGCGTAACGAAATCATCCACCCGCAATCCCTGGTCATAGTAACCCTCCACCTCTTTGTACAGCGTCCAGACTTGCGGGATAGTGCTCGTGTCGGTGACGTTGAAAACTTGTTTGAATATCTGTGTTTGGTTGGCTGTAATGTTCTCGAGCAGGGAGATGGCGTCTGCGCCTGTGATTGGTTCTACATGTATCGAGTACAATTAGCGACAGTTGGATGAGATAAAATAGGAACCAACCATCTCCGTTTCCTCGCATCCCGATGGTCCACATGTTCTCGAAAGGCTTTGCACGGATGGTGCTGTTCACCCAGAATTCGTTGATAAACTGTAGAATCGATCAGAAAGTTCAACCGAGTTGCGAACGAAAAGTACCTGCGAGTTAACCCTGTTCGGCACAAATGAGATTCCCAAGTCGAACAGAGAACAACGAGTGACATACGAGTAGTCCCAGGGGCCGTTACCAAAAAGCCCCCATTCGACCTATGAACGGTGAGGATGCGGCGGTTGTCTTGAACAGAAGGGACTTACAGGAATAGAGCGCATCATCGGCTCTTCGTGACTAAACGGTTCTCGGTATTAGTTCGTCCATAAGAAAGTCGAAACGGGAGCAACCTTGTGCCCATGACGATGCCATAATAGTCCGCCATAGCTTGATTTTGCGAGTCATCGACGCAGAAAGCACTGCTCCATTGTGCTGTAAAGAGGCAGAAAATGACTGAACTGTATTCCATGCAATTCAAAGCACCTACCGGGCCATATATGATTCGCCTTGAAGCGCAACATCAGCTCGAACCTGCGATAAATTTCAGCGAGAATATTGCAAACATCCTGAAGCATCGTACAGTTTCGCATAGAAGACATGGTTGAACGGAGATCCGGTCAGGGCCGCGCCGGTACCATTTGTGAACTTCTCCATAGCCCAATTTTGAAGCGCCGGCTGCTCATCATTGAGGAATATCGCTCGATACTTCACAGAAGGCTCGCCGTGCGAGCATCCACTGGGCGTGACGAACAGTGCGGAGTGTTTGGTAGTTGGAACATCCGCCCACCTGCCTCATGTCGGCTAAACGATAGACTTCAAGTCGTATATAGTACGGCGAGAACGCACCAGTACCACGGGGATACACCTGCATCGAGGCTCAATGAGAATAGCTATAGCACGTATAAATAAAGAGTTTCGGAGTGCGCACCAAACTGTTCCGAATGGTCATACAGTGCGAATATCGTGCCTCTTTTGTCCGCCCCAATCATCAGGTAAGCCTTCGGGACTCCGGGGAGTGGGTTCGTCACGACTCGCGTCATGAACGCCTCCCAGCGGTTCTCGATTGAGGAAACGTCGAGCTTGGTCGAGTTTAGGATGTGGTTGATGAGGGAGGACTTTCCGAGCGTGCCGATGATGATTGGGAGCGAGGAACGAGGGGCGGCAGAGGAGGAGACATTCGTGAGGGTTGGCTTTAGACCGGTGACCTGCTGAATGTCTCGAGCAAAATCTTGCGCAGCGCGTTGAACGCCAGGCCATTCGTCAGACGAGAGAAAAAGAGGTGCAGCTTTCCCGTTGCTTGCAATAGAGAATGCAGAGGAGGAGGATTGGAAGAGAACGCATGTATCCTGGCCTAGTGCATTCACACTAGCGACCAGCAGAGATAAGACTATGGTGGTGAAAAGTACCATGGCGCTCAAAGGAATACAGAACATCGCAGCGGTTTAAGAGACCTTCGAAATTGTCAGGAGGCGGGGTCAGCTGCTGGGCGTGCCTATATTTTTTCATCGGAAAAACGTCGGCCATGATGCCAATGGGATACGGATTGACGCATGTCAACTAGGAAGCAACAACTTAGCGGAGATGGAGAGGCTTTAGAGAATGAAAATGACGGGCACAATTCCTATGAATCCAATTTCTCACCAACGGCTGAGACGTCCAGAAAATTGCGGATTGTGGCCCGCAGTAATACATTGTTTCAGTTTTTCCTGGTGCGCAGTTGGCGAGGCGTGGGAAGATGCTGCACATCAGGTTGAAGTAGAGAAGAGCACCGTTGGATTGGAAGAAGCTCAGGAACTTTGAGGAACTAGAAGAAGATGCAGGAGAAGGACGGTGACTGGGTCAGGAAGCAGGCAGTCACGGACCCCGGTGACATCGCCTTGTGTCGCCGGAATTCGGAACACCCGAAAAGTTCCGAAACGTGATACTGGACGTAAGTATTTTTTAAGTTTTTTAATTGGCGGGATTGAGGGAATGATTTTCGATT